AGTTTTCCTTTTGAGTGAAGTCTTTGCCTGGTTTTGGTATCAAGGTTATGCTTGCTTCATAAAATAAGTTAAGGAGAATTCCATCCTTTTCTATGTTTTGGAATAGTTTGAGTAGGAATGGTGTCAGTTCTTCTCTGAATATTTGGTAGAATTCTCTGGTGAAACCATCTGGGCCAGGACATTTTTTTTTTGTTGGTAAATTTTGATGACCTGTTCAATTTCTTCTTTATGGATCCGTTCAACTTTTCCACATCAATCTGTGTTAGTTTAGGTAAGTGCTGTTTCTAGAAATCAGTCCATTTCTTCCAGATTTTCAAATTTCTTGGAGTACAGTTCTTCATAGCATCCTGATATTATCCTTTTTATTTCAGTTGATTCTGTTGTGATGTCACCCATTTCATTTCTTATCCATGTTATTTGTATTCTCTCCCTCTTTTCCTTTCTTAAATTTGCCAGTGGTTTGTCAATTTTATTGCTCTTTTCAAAAAACCAACTTCTGGTCTTGATTTTTTCTATTGCCCTTCTATTTTCTGTTTCATTGAGTTCTGCTCAAATCTTTATTATTTCCTTTCTTCTGGTGACTGTAGGCTTTTCTCGCTGTTCTTTTTCTAATTATTGGAGATGTTGGTTTAAAGTGTTGATTTTGGCTCTTTCTTCTTTTCTGATGTATGTATTTATTGCTGTAAATTGGCCTCTGACCACTGCTTTTGCTGTGTCCCCAAAATTTTGTTATGTTGTGATTTAACTCTCGTTTGATTCAAGGAATTTTTTAATTTCAATTTTTATTTCTTCTCTTACCCAGTCTTTCTTAAGAAGGGTGTTGTTCAGCTTCCACGTGTTTACTCTTTTCCCATTGCTATTCCTGTTGTTGATTTCTAATTTGATAGCATTATGATCTGAGAAGATGTTTTGCAATATTTCAATGTTTTTAAATTTATTATAATTGTGGTTACCAGGTGTGGGTAACAAGGAGAAAGAGAGAATTTTTCCTTCAAATAGTTTATATCAGTGAAGGTGGAATAGGTTGGGAAAGAGTTGTTGTTGTTGTTGTTATGTGCTATCGAGTTGGACCCGATTCATAGTGACCCCTCCTTGGGTTTCCGAGGCACTATGACTATGGAAGTAGATTGCCCCATCTTCCTTCCAAGGAATGGCTGGTGGGTTTGAACTTTCTGGTTAGCAGTCAAGTGCCTTAGGCACTATGCTACCAGAGCTCCTAGGGAAAGAGTAGTGAGAATAATTGCACAATTTAATTAAAGGAATCAATGTGATTATATGATACATGTAGAACATTTCATTTGGCATATATTTTATCATGTATCTGTTCACCACAACATGTAAATAATTATATAGAGAGAGGACTTAAGTGCAATTGCAAAAGTTAATTTAGTATCAGAAGACTCAGTTACTACTAGTGATAATTGTGACTCAAGTCATCATACAAACCCTCCATACCTTCATAAACTGAGATAAATATACTAACTACATCACTAAGTAATTGGGAAGATAAGAGGTGAATGTCAGTAAGCATTCAGCATATATTTGCTATGTGCCCGATACATTTCAAGCAATAGGTACAAAAATTCTATATGCAAGGAACTGAATCAACATCTCTGAAACATCAAATTGAGCTATATTAGTCATGATTAAGCATTTGTTAAATTTTTTTGCAGGTTTCAGTAAACAAGCATAGAATTCAGTCATATATCCTCGAGAAAGATGGAAATAAGAAGGTGGGAGGAGTGGAAGAGGGCATCAGAAAAGTCACAGTTTTCAATGAAAGCCCAAATTCTGAATGAGAACACATCTGGCCTCCTCATCCTAGGACTCAACTTAAATGTCTGATTTATGTTTTTTAGGTAACACTAGAACTAACTGCCTGGAAAGAGAGGTACGAATTTTGTAATTTCTTACTTACAAGGAGGAGCTTTTTGTTCCAACCAAAGAACAGTATAGCAGTCACCTTTCACTTAAACCTGAAGCCAAGATGATGAGTGTGACTGTTAGCAAGACCTAAGTTGAAAAATCCAAATACTAATGGTACGCCCTTTACAGGTTTATGTTCAAGGACAAATTCCCAGTTACAGAGGCACATGCTTTGTAGTTTTATCATGCTTGTTCTAAGAAGTTTATATATACCAGAACTAGCCAGTCTCTAGGTGGCAGAAATGATTAACTGTTCAGCTACCAACTATTAGTGGTTTGAAGGCACCCAGAGATGCCTTGGAAGGGTCACAGCTATGAAAACCCTATGTTGAGCAGTTTGACTATGAAACTTATGGAGTCTCCATGAGTTGAATCACCTCAATGGCAACTGACTTTGTTTTTCAATTTGGTTGTTGTTTTTAGGGCAACCATTTTGCATGGAAGTTTTCTCACCTCCACTGTATGCAACTGTTCCTCCTTACAACTAGTTTGACAATGTTGACATAAAGTTCCCCCAGTCAGCAAGGTGAAGCTATAATTTGTAATGAACAAAAACAAAAAAACAAGAAGAAGAAGAAACTATGTCTTTTGTCTACAAAAATATTCTAAATCTAATTTTCCATTTTTCCCTTACTTTTAAAACATAATTTCAGTGAATTTGGAGACCAAAAGGAGAAATGCCCCCTTTTTTCATTATATTTATATCTAATGGGGAGGCAGATTATAAACCAAAGTTCATGAAGGAGTGAATGTTATATTTGTGATAAATGTTCTGCAAATATTTGCTACCATTGGGAACCTAGCCTAGTTAGAGAGATCAAGGAAGTCATCCCTATGTAAGTAAGATTTCTTTTCAGTCATAAACATAAACAATGGTTAGCAAAACATACATGATGAAAAATAGTAGAGAGAACTGATTAAGTGCTGAAGCTCAGGAAGTAGAATGCCAAGGCTTGAACCCGGATCTAACAATTACTAACTGTGTGATATGGGAGATTTAATCTCTGTGTCCCTCATTATTTTCACTTGAAGAATGAGGATAATAATTTTAAGCTTGTAAGATAGTTGTAAGGTTTAAATAGAATGATACATAAAAAATATTTAGGATAGTATTGTCTATAATGTCCACTCAATAATTATTGACTCATTGGAGTAGAGGAAACAGGTTGTGCAAAGACTCCAATGTTAGAAAACATTTAGTGCCTTTAAGTGATGAGGAAAAGCCCAGTGTACTGGACAATAGTGTGCAAGGAATATACCCCGAGGTGAGACTGACCTGAGAAAAGTCAGCACCTGCAATAATTGTGAGCTTGAGTATTATCTTATGCACCTTATTTTAACCTTATACCACAATTATAAAGTCATTCCCATTTTGCAGATTTTCAATCTTATAACACCATTATAAAGCCATTACCATTTTGCAGATGAAGAGACAGATTCAGAAAAATTATGGGACTTCCCAATGTCACATAACATGCAGATAGCAGAGAAATCACTTAAAATGTTAGATTTTTTAGCTCCAAATTTGGAATTCTTTCTGCTGGAACACACTTTAACACTCTCTTAATTGCAGTCATGCTCTCATTTTTAAGTTGAACAATTCCAAGGAAGATAAAATCATTTTAGATATTTTGCTATAAATGCAGAAAATGGAAAAATGACCCTGTTTAATTCCACTTTTAGGCTAATTGTATCAAAGATGTTAGTAGATGCACCAAAATCTATAACCCTGTATGTGGAACTGATGGAAATACTTATCCCAATGAATGTGTTCTATGTCAGGAAAATAAGTGAGTATAAACTTTATTTTATTTTTTTAAAATATGTATGTTAAGCTAGTTGTCTGCAAATTTTCCTATTTCTGATGACTCAGAAAACACAATAAATATAACAATAACATGGATCATGCCATGAAAGAAATTGGTCTATTTTACAAAAATAATGATTTTCTCATTTTCATAAATCTGATATGAGTATAATAGATATATGTGTGCATATGTGTATGTATGTATGTATGTGTGTTCATCATGAAAGAAACTAACTTTTGTTCTGTCAACCTTTGTGTGAGACACTCAAGGTAAAAAAGAATGGCAAAAGTAAACCACACTAATCTCATCATACATGTGAAGAGATTGAGACTCAGTTTAAATAACTTGCTTATTATCATCCAACAGTAATTAGCAGATCTGGAACTGAATCCATCCTCTTTCCCCTATGCTATAAAGTCAGGTACCAGGCTAAGTATTTGTGTTAAACAGGCAAAGAATCTGGCACAGTGTGTCTCTCAAGTCCCTCACATGGCATGCTAATACATTATGGTCAATGCTACAGTGGGAGTATGAGCACATGGCTCTGAGAAAACAACAAATTATGCCTGCTGGGATTTAAGAATAGTTTGGAGACTTTCTCTAGGCAATAAAAAAAAGGAGAAACATTCAAACAAGGAGAAAAAGAAACTGAACAAAGACAGAAAGAAATCAATAGCATATTACAATATTAAATGAATATAAAACATATTAAAGAAAAGATGATGGAATGGAAGAAAAAGATTCTAATGGCTCTGTTAATAAAAGAATTACTTGTATAATAAAATTCATGTTGTACAGTAAAATAGCAGGTATTCTGAGTTTAAAAAAACTCACATACAAGTAGCTTTAATTAACAAAATAATTCTCATGATAACAATGAATGTGTTTTCTAAAACTCAAAAATATGAATTGTACAGATCAGGTGATCAAAATGTATTTTTGTGGCACTTTTATTTATAATAGGAGATCCAAGTTCAATGAACTTTCTTTTAGGAGTCAGACTCAGGACGCTCCAAGATGGAGAGTTTCCCCTTATTATTTTTACTTTGGGAGCTCTGGTGGATTTGTGCCTAAGACATTTGACTGTTAACCAGAAGGCTGGGGGTTCAAACCCACCAGATGCTCCTTAGAAGGAAGGTTGGGCAATCTACTTCCGTAGTGATACTGCCTCAGAAACCCAAGGAGGGGTCGCTATGAGTCAAAACCAACTCAACAGCAGTGACTTTGGTTTTGTTTTTGGTATTTTTACTTTACACAGAAACTATTACATGTGCCAATCATTACATGCTATTCTCTCCATTTTTTCTTGTATTCATGACTAAGAGAAAATGGATCATGATCACAAATAAGATAGCTTCTTGTACCTTATGATAACTTATATTAAATGAGATGTAACCAAAATGCTACCAGAATGAACAAAGGTACTGAATTCTTATTGAAAGGAGCCAAGAAAGGTTTCATGATGTTGTATAAACAGAGATCTGAACTTTGGCAGCATCACAAGAATATTTCAGGTTAAATGAAGGTATGGAATGATCAAAACAAATAGCAGAGATTCTACAAGTGATCCAGAATCTTCTGGAGTTATTCTGGACTGATTTGGCACTAAAGACTTTTATTTAGGCTCAAGTGACAACATAAATTATACAATGGCATAAATTCTCTGTCCTATAACACAAATTCTTTATTGGGACTACTTTAAACCATTTCAGAAAATTCTCAGTGTTTGGCAAGGATTGTGAATCTAAGTGCCTGGTGTGAGAGATATAATTTCCCGTAGTATTACACCAAAAGATTAAAGATCCTTCTTTACAGTGAACTTATTCCTATAATAAAAATTTATAAAAGGAGCCTGATACTACTTGTTAATTTTCTCATACCCTATGTTGTTGATGGTAAGTCAAACATCATATTTCCATCCAAGGGGAAGAGAAAGCAATAAAAAAGCCTTGAGAACTGTGGTGGTTAAGTCTGTGTGTCAACTTGTCTGGGCCTGGTTGAGTGGCTGGGCAGCTGAATGTAGTTATTCCTCATGGTGAGATTGGAAATTAACTCCATGGTGGAATCTATTGGAGCAGTTGAGTAGCTGCTTTGGGTATGTGGTCTGCTTCCCACATATAAGAAGCAGCTTTGGGTATGGTCTCCAGTATATGGCATACTTGGACCCTGCATGTAGCCGTGTTGTTGTTCAGCAGCCTGCCATGCTTTGCCAACCCTGGCACTTACAATGAACTTGGATTAATGGCCTGCCATGTGGTTTGGAAGCATTGGGACTGTGCCATTTTATTTGTCAACCTTGGGCTTGTTAGCCTCAGCAGCCAGCAGCTGTCTGAGTAAAGAGATGTCTCTAGCTTCAGTGGGCCAGGAGCAAGAGGCAGAGCTGAAACCCATGGTTGAGGGGCTTTCACACAGACCCTAGAGCCTGGGACTTTGAACTTGGATTTCTAGCCTCCTGAACTGTAAGAGAATAAACCCCTGTTTGTTCAAATCATCCCATTTGTGGCATATTCCTGTCAGAGTGACACTAGGTAACCAGAATAACAACTGAGGGATTTCCAAATATAAGCAAAAAGGCACAATTTTTAGAGTGAAAATCAAAAAAAAAAAAAAAACACCTCACTGCTGTCGAGTTGGATCCGACTAATTGCGACCCCTCTTTCGGTTTCCGAGGTGGTATCACTATGGATAGGA